ATTCACTTGAGCTCAAAAAGCAAATCATGTTTGTGGCTTTGCTTCAATGTTAATATTTAAACTAGTTCTGTCAAATCGATTAATCACATCTAACATAAAAGTTTGAAAATATGTGTGTGTATGTATATATACTCACACACACATATTTACAAACTTATATGTTAGATGCGATTAATCTATTTGACAGCTGTAGTTTAAACTAAATGTCTTCATAGTTTAAAGACCGATAATATTAATTACACTTAATTTCTAATCTGATCTAATCTAAATCAAATTGAAAGAACGTCCTGAAGTTTAATACAGAGACGAGACTCGTTCTGGGTCAGAGCGCAGAGGAGAGGCTATACAGCGAGTGTGTGACGGGCTGCTGTTTCATCTCTCATGGGTGTGTGTTCAGTAATCCGGGTCAGTCTCTGCACTGCTCACCTTCAGCAGCCTGTCCTCAATAAAGTGTCCTACTTCTCCTCGCGCTGCTTAAAGAGACAGAGACCGGGTTTGAAGTTAACACGAGGCAAATGCGGGTAAAAAATCAACTGTGGCGGGTCAAATCACGAGCCGATTGACCGTTCGCAAAGCCCCGCCCCCTTTAGTTACTGTTGCTATGTCCGACAAGCCACGCCCCTCTCACGCCACATCATGAGGACACTTACAACAGGACAGGACAGACCAGCTTACTTTTGCTATGAAACAAAGTATCAACTTTAAAATTTGGTCATTTTTTAAAAGAAGTTTAAACAATAAATAGCGTTTTGTGTCTGTTTAATGTGTCTGACAGATCGCTCAGTTAAAGCCGCTCGTGAACCGATCATCTCTTCCTTCTAGTTCATTTATAGCATCAAATAAACATGAACATCAGGAGGAATGTTGTTTTAACCGCGGAAAGACGTCAGTACACTCCGTTTCTCAAGTTCAAATCCTCCGATGTTGATCTACTAACTCTTCTGACGGCTCTGTCGGACAAAAATGGTGGATTATGATTGGTCAGATTGCCTGTCAATCAAACTCCCTGTGAACGGTCAATTTGGCGTGTTATTATGTTTACTCACTTTGCTGGGGAAGTTCGTGTAGACCAAATCTGTGCAAATTTAGCGCAAATACTGATCATCATGATATATTAAATACAGGGTATTGCACAGAATCTGTGACACTACAGTTATATTACATCTTGTGAAAAGGGCTTAATGTGTCACCTTTGCTGCCGTCAGGTGGATGTCCTGAAGCTGGACCTGGAAAGCGCGGAGTGGAAGGTCCTGGAGAACCTGGTTCTGGAGCGGGTTCTGGACTCGCTGGGTCTGTTGCTGCTGGAGCTGCACCTGCACTGGCCCGGGTTCGAGGTGGGCGGAGACGAGCCCTCGGTGATCCGCTATTGGTTCAGTCTCCTCAGGGAACTGGAGCGCGCTCATTACCGGCTCTATCACAGTTACAGCGACCCGAACAAACCTCGTCTGATCCTGCACAGAAACATCCAGAACGCCAGCAGCTCCTTCGTCCTGGGATGGGTCAACACTCGCTTCGTCCCGCAGGGATGAGCGACGACTATTCAGGAGAAACACTTCAGACTGCAAAACTTAAAAGCCGATTAAATCAAGCGGCAACCTTCCGGTCTCTCTCTTGAATCCGACACTGAAGTGATTAAACTGCAGTTCCTCCACTGGCCACTAGAGGCCGGCTGCAGAAGAGAGTCAGTCCCATAGACTCGCATGTTAAAATGTCCAACTTTACAGCAGAATAAAACATGTTTACAGTCTGGAGCAAAAAGTGGTTTTGGTCTATATCGCTAATGTTGCTCTTCATGACGACTGTGAGGGGGGTGAATATTTTTATAACTCATCCGTTTAAATGATATTAAGCCTTAAAGTTGTGCATAATTAAGGGCGTGGCCACTTGAGTGACAGGTGGATTGCCGCTGATGTCACTGCTAGCGTTTGTTTGCTGTGTGTTAGCGTCACGTCACCTCAGCTAATCCGCCTCGCTGCACATGTTCGTTTATCCGGGAGTGACACTGCCAAGATGGCGACGGCTGGCTCCGCCCACTTTGGGCTTCAAAAACGCTCTTCAGAAACACTACGGGTGACGTCACACACACTACGCACACATTTATTTACAGTCTATGGATTAAATCAACAAGTCAATGAGGATGTGAATACCAGACACAATTAAAAATGTAAAACTCCCAGTAAACTCATTGTTTGCTTTCAATTTTACTCTTCTGACAAGAAACAATCATAACAACAGGGGAAAAGCAAAAAAAAAAAAAGTTAAATCAATCATAATTTAGTGGCACTCAAATGAAGCAAAAGAGGAAAAACACAACGTATGAAACGGTACTATGGTAATACTACTGTTACACTACATGTAATATGGCAGTATGTTATAGTACATATGTTACTACCACGGTACAGTGATGATTTGGAAAGGGTAATGTAGCATAAAATGATATAATATACATGTATAATGTTAAAAAAAGCTTTCTATTTCAGATAAATGCTGTTCTTTTGAACTTTCTATTCATCAAAGAATCCCCCCCAAAACAATTTACATAACTGTTTTCATCACTGATAATAATCATAAATGTTTCTTGAGCATCAGATCATCATATTAGAGTGATTTCTGAAGGATCATGTGACACTGAAGACTGGAGTAATGATGCTGAAAATTCAGCTTTGATCACAGGAATAAATTACACTTTACTGTATATTCACATAGAAAACAGCTGATTTACACTGGAATGATATTTCACAATATTACTGTTTATTTTTAATCAAATAAATGCAGCCCTGCTGAGCAAAAGAGACTTCTTTTAAAAACATTTTAAAAAATGACCGATCCCAAACATTTGAATGGCAGTGTATAATAAAAGCGCATTTATTTTAATCACAATCAGCAGTGTATATATATAAATATCGGCCTGTATGTTTTTCTGTTTGGCTAACGAGTCGGACTTTTATTTTGACAGCGCACTGCTGATTTTAATAGTTTTTTATGATTTTATAATTTATGTATGATTTTATAATTTATGTATGATTTTATAATATAATTTTTATGATTTTAATAAATTGTGTAATTTTATATATATATATGCATAATTTAATTAAAATAAACATGTAAATGTGTATCTAATATCTTTTATTGCATTACAAATATAATTATATCCTTTTTTTTTACAGCAAAATTGATTTAAATGTTCCATTTTGAACCAACATTGATGCACCACACACGTATCTCCCATGATGCAAAGTGCTAAAGACACTGGACTCAATTCTCTACTAAACACAAATACGGAGTAAAAATGTGCGTTTCCCAAAAGCAATAGTAGTACAGTATATTATAGTAATAGCATATCTAATTATAAAAGTAATTGGAGACAGTGATCTACTTATGCGTACAATGCTTTTGGGGAAATGCAGCACAGAAATCATTAATAGCATCAATTCTTTTCAGTATGAAATAACATCAATGCTATATTTTGTTAGCATGATAAAAACAAGCTGAATTTATGAACATCGGGACACTTTTTCCAGTCATTTAAATGTGAGATAGTGACTGACTTCAGCTGAATACACTCAACATTGTGTACAAATACCAGGCGTATGAATATATTAATAAATGTCACATTCCTTGAGAGTTGGAGGAGTAAATTAAAGGCAGTGCATTCTGGGATTGCCTTATTTGCATAATTTTGATTCAAGAGTTTATTCTGAAAAAGGCCTGAATAAACTAAGAAACACCTTTTTTTTTTCATTTGTTATACTGGAGATGATTCTGATTGATCGTTTAATCTGCATATCTAGAAACCATAATACTGGCTTAATCAGGTTATGGCAATTGATACATAAAGCAAATTCCATATTTGTAATATTTTGTGAGGTTGTGCACTTGTGATATTTGCTTCTGTAGAGACACCACACCACGTGCGATGTCCCATTAAAATAGGAAATAAAATACATGTTTAACAACAAAATTACCAGTGATGGACTAAATTACCCATAATGCCAAAGAGAATGTTCTGATGTTTTAAAACATTTAAATATTGATATTTTCAAGTGATTTAAAAAATGAAAAACTTTACATGTATAATAAAAGCCGCCAGTAGGTGGCAGCGAGTCACCGTTAATGAGTGAGTCATTAAGATTCAACCGATTCATTCAAACGGTTGATTCACTCATGAACAAAGCATTTGACCGAATGAATGATTCAATGACTCACTCATTAAGACAATCGATTCGTTCACTCAGTAATGTCGTCGCGAGTCTTTGTTTGGAACTATTTTCGTTGGCGAAATAGAGCAAAAACAGGCAATATTGTCTCTAAAATGGAAGTCACTTAATATTAACTTCTTGATTATTGAAAATCAATATCACATTTGTGATCGTGCTGATATTTGGAGGAAAAATATAACAGCTCTCCGTGTGATATTGATCAACTATATGATTAAGTATCCATGTAAACATAGTCGGTTATGTATTAAATGAATGTAACAGTTGAGAAATAAAACGCTTGTGTAACAGTATATTGGATCAGTGCGTTCGCTCTTAAAGTGACAGCGTCCTAATAATCCTGATGTTAAACAAAAGACAAAAAATCATTCACTACTAATAACTTTTGTAGCTTTAATACGGATTAATGTTTATTCAATTTATACAGTGAAGAATCTATTTTACATTTGAGTACTTTATGTCTGTACCTGAAAAGCACTGTTTATTTCACATATGCATCTTTGTTCTGTTGTGTTTCTCTTGAATGTTAAATTCATCCAATAGGAATGACGGTGCAGTAATAAATGCATGTGTTTTTTAACCTTGTTAATTTAAAACATGATCAAAACACTAATCTATTTTGACGTTTGACTCCGAGAGAGGACGCTAAAACAAGGGTTGTCATATTAAATGATAGAAATATAAAAAATATTGAATATTGAGGGCATTATAAATGCATTTTAATAGATCATTAAAACAACAATCGTGATATTATGGTAGACGATAAATATCTCACACCCCAAATGGAAAACCAAAACACACAAACAGCAGAAAATAAACGAGAGACATTTATTATCTTCAAAAAGAGAGAATGCGAGACATGGTTTCATTCATTAAAAAAAAAAGCTGAAAGTCTGTGGCGTGTGTGTTTAGGGACTGGATACCAGCCCGATAACACCCGCATGAGCAGCTCGCGAGGAAGTGTGTGTGTGTGTGTGTGTGTTTCCTCAGTCCCAGAGTTTGATCAGCCCGTCCCAGCCACAGGTGATGACCTTGGACGTCTCGTGAGGGTGCCAGAGCGCGCTGATACACACCTTATCGTGCGCCTTGATCCGATGGTACAGCTTCGTCGTCTTCCAGTCCCAGATGTTCAGCTTCCCGTCCGCATCACCGGACACCACATAACTGCAGAGAGAACACGAGAACCAGTTAGAGACACCAGCAACATCATACAAAATATTTATGTATTCGTATTTATGAAACGACTGTATGGCTATGATGACTCAAAACCAGCCAAAAATGTGTTTACACAATCTAGTTTAAATCATCAAGGCATATTTTCCACAATGATTTTCACTAAAAAGAACAAGAATGATATTGAAGCGTCATCATTTATATCATCAATTCAATCGCAATGTGGCTAAAGTTATAAACTCGCTGTTTATATATATAAAATAATAATTAAAGCTCCATGGTACACATTACATTTTCCTTAAATACTTTTGTTACAGTGAAATAGTGCAACAGTAATATTTCTTAATCTGTTTTAAATAAAAAATATGTGTATTTAATAATAACAATAAAATCATAATTATTCATTGTAATTTTACAGCTGTACTGTAAATTAAAATTATTATTTATTTTTTCTTAGATACTTTAAAGTGAAATAGTAGAAAATGTATATTTCTTTGTTTTAAATAAATATTTGTATTTAGTAGTTATTATAATAAAATCATAATAATTCATCGTAATTTTACAGCTGTACTGTAAATTAATTTAATATGTATTTTACAGTGAAATTGTCCAACAGTAATAATTATTAATTTGTTTTAAAAGATTTTTATTTAGTAATAATAATAATAATAATAAAACCATAATTATTAATTGTAATTTTACAGATGTACTGTGATTTAAACGTATTATATTATTTTACTTAAATACTTTTATTTTAAAGTGAAATAGAACAAAATTTATATTTCTTTGTTTTAAATAAATATTTGTATTTAGTAGTAATTATAATAAAACCATAATTCATTGTAATTTTACAGCTGTACTGTAAATTAATTTTACAGTGAAATTGTCCAACAGTAATCACTTAATTTGTTTAATAAAACATATATTTGTATTTATTAATAATAATAAAAACATAATTATTCAATGTAATTTTACAGATGTACTGTAATTTAAAAATAGTATATTATTTTACTTAAATACTTTTATTTTAAAGTGAAATAGTACATAAGTAATATTTCTAAATTAGTTTTCAATAAAATATTAATATTTTATTTAGTATATTATTATTATTATTAAAAATTCATATTAATATATTATCAAACTATTTTTAATTTTTTGGCCAAATTATGTGGCCCTACAAACAAGCACATTCAAACCTGTAGGTTTTATTAAAAAAATAAAATAAAAGCAAAGTAAAAAATTGTGCATTTTAAAAATCACAAAAGGAAAAGTATCAGATAAAATCTTTTTTTTTTTTAGAAAAGGAAGTAGGGCACAGGACCTGAGTGAGACCATCTCATCTACAGCTGTTTCACCACTAAATCAGCTTTGCTTTAAAGAACACGTTTCCTTCAATTACGATGAACAGCTGAACATGAACAGGAGTGTGTGTGTGTGTGTGTGTGTGGAGCTTCACCTCATGTCCGGAGAGAAGTCCACCTGACAGGCGTATCCCGCCACCATGTGGCCCTTGAAGATCTTCTTCTTGTTGAGACGGAACCGGTTCTGAGCTCCAAAGATCAGGATCTGATTGTCCATGGACTGACAGGCCAGCCACTTCCCTGAGATCAGCACAAAACACGTCATCAGTCACAGGACACATGAGGAACGCAGCGCTCACGCAAGGGAATAAATATCCATAATAATATTACAGTATAGAGATGTTCCGGTTTATCGGCAGGGTGTCTACAGATATAAACTAGTTCAATTTAAGATCTTTTAATGCCACTTTGAAAGGAAATTAAGACCAAACCCGTGATGGAAATACACATTATATTTCATACGGAGTAATTTAACTACTTGTTTATTGAACTAAAATCAATGTAACATTAGCAATCGTGAGAATATCCAGGAAAATAGCTCCCATTATGTTACTTAACTATATGTTATAAATAAACTCAACATTGTGAATTTTTACCTCAGTGAGTTTTTTATGTGTGCTGTTCATTTGTTTTGATTTCTCACTATAAAATCTCTCAGAGAGAGACGGGCGAGTCTCAACAGCGCTACCAGAAATACATCATCATTATCAATCGCCGTTTATGTGATAAAATCAGAATCATTCTCGCGAGTCGAAGCTTCGCTGGTTATTTGACGGACATCCGTCAGACGGGAGAGATTTTAGCGGTAGTGTGACCAGAAATATTTAAGAATCTGAATTTAAGACATTTGAATACTTTTTAAGGACCCGCGGCCACCCTGACCTAGTAACACCATACCAGCCACCCAGAATACCCTAACAACAGCCTAGCAACCACCTAGAACATCTTAGCAACCCACTAGAAACACCCTAGCAACCGAGTGGCGAGTTTTGCCACTACAAGCACCACTCACATTTTCTTCAGGAAATGTACATTCTAGTTTTAATATGTTCCTTGAGGATCACTTATAATGCTAATAAAGTTTTTTTTTTGCACAAAATAATATGATTATTTTCAACCTTCGTTTATTTAAGACATTAAGACTTTTTAATAGGGCTGGGGGGAAAAATCGATTTTTCGATTAATCGTTTTTAAAAAGGTGGTCGATTCAAAATCGATTCTCAATGGCCACGAATCGATTTTTTCCATATTCACATTCAGGGCTCGCGGTGCTGCGTCTTGTGAGTAACCTCGTAAAGACAGTCGGTTATGTCTTAAATAAGCATAAAAGCGTGTGACAGACAGTATAATGAAACAGTAATGGATCCGTGCACTAGTTCTTAAAGTGAACGCAGCCATATGTGTCTGTCATTCATTTTGTTGTCAAAACAACATAATATAGCATTAATTGTAAGGAATCAGAATTAATAGCCTATGTATTTAATTCAGTCAGGACTAAAAGACTATCCAGTGTTATTTTACATTGGATTACTTGATTCAGTTTCTGTAGTATTTCTGACCTACCCAAAAACTTTTCTTTTTATGTCTCTTTATTTGTGTCTTTATTCTATTGTATTTATTTGTGCTACTTTTTTCAATTTAATTCAAATATTGAAATCAAGCTTCCATGTGTTGCATAAACTCTTAACAAAAAATTACCCCATTGTAAAAACAAACATTTAGGTGAGATCAATGTAAAAAAAAATTGTCTAAAAAATGATAACTGATATTTATTTATCTATCCATCTTAAACATAAAATAACCTATCGTGTTTGATCAAAGGCGTGCGACTGTTCTGACTTGTCCAATTTTCAGCATCAATTTGGCATCTTGCATCAAAATCCTGTCTATTCATTGCATGCATTTAGTGTACAGTGTATATAAAAAGGGTTTTATATACAGGTTTGTGGCTCTTAATTTCTTTGTATTAATTAACCACTTGTAAACGTATGTCCACTAGGGCTGGGTATCGATTCAGATGTTCAAATTCGATTCGATTTCGATTCAGAAGCGCACAGTTCGATTCGATTCCGATTCTCGATTTCGATTCCTGATTCGATTCTTGATTCGACTATAATGAATATAGATTAGGGCTGTGAATCTTTGGGTAGGCAGCGAATCGATTCGATTCACGATTCATAGGTTTTCGATTCGATTCAAGAACGATTTTTGCAAATTCAGAAAGATTCGATTCAATGCGATTCACATTAAAATTCGATGCGATTCGATTAATTCGATTCTTAATTTTGTATATGCATTCATAGGATTATTTAAATGCTTCCCCCAATGGGTCTTAGTCAGGGTGTGAATACAGCTGCCTTCGGGGGTCAGAGAGTGGGGGGAAAAAAAACAAAAAAACAACAACAACATTTTGTCTATTGTTAATGTTAGTTCATGTTAATTTTTAATGAATCTATTATTATAAAAAATATTTCCAAAGCCTATAAATTAGCATTTGTAAAAATGTAAACCAAGATTTAAAAAGGCTTTAAAAGTATAGTTCATCATGCTAACTATTTTGTAGGAATGGATACACAACCTTAAAGTGTTCCTACATTAAACATCCTTCCAGTGTGAGACTAAAAATACCATGAACTTTACCAACTAAAACCTTAACTAACGTTTCCTCATGGAATAGCTTTTTGTTCTCTTTATCCGACTGAACATTTTCCTTGTGATTCTGAAAGAAAACGCGCCGGCTGTCTACTTGTGCTATATTAACGATTACGAATGCAACTTTAATGCGCATCTGATTGATGGATAAACCACGCGCTCTATTTCAGTGTAATTAATGTTGTAGTTATTTCATCAGCTCAGTTTAACGACATTAAGTTACATTTCATTCATCATTCATGATTAATCGGAAGCGTGTGCATTTTAGACACCTATTATACGTTTTCTCTTTCCATGTAATAAATGCGCACCCTTGAATAAGTGGGGTTTTACTTTAACTGCTCAGGACGGGTATGACCCATTTCCGTAAAACTTCAGTATCTTATCTTAAAGAAAATAACGGTCACGTTTCCACGCAACGAACGCGTTGTTTCATAGCAGCCCGCGCAAAGATATGGCAGCTTTATCAATGGCTTGCTTTCTCGATAGAGAGCTGTCATCTGCTCATGTGAACACTAATGGCTGTCCTGAGGAGAGCTCAAACACGGACTGCTCAAAAATCTGTAGATGAGAGCTATATATGGGACCGAGCGCGAGCGAAATCCAGTGAAAGATGGTAAGAGTGCAGCGAGTATGTGAGAGCTGTGAGGACGCGAAATGACGCCGCACAACGCCTCATTAATTCGCGCATGTAGTCATTTAATGTTTATATGTTTTAAAGCACTGAATCGATATAGAATCGCAAATTATTCGATTCTTAGCATTTTAAATCGAATATTGACCGAAATAAACGATTCACAATTCGAAATACATGTTTCAAGATCGATGCATATGCATCGTCAGGATTTGTAATCGATGCAGAGAGAAAACGAATGAATCGTTACACCCCTAATATAGATGTAATACAAATCTCAGTCTAAATCTCAGTTATCATTTTTTAGACAATTTTTTATTACATTGATCTCACCTAAATGTTTGTTTTTACAATGGGGTAATTTTTTTGTTAAGAGTTTATGCAACACATGGAAGCTTGATTTCAATCTTTGAATTAAATTGAAAAAAGTAGCACAAATAAATACAATAGAATAAAGACACAAATAAAGAGACATAAAAAGAAAAGTTTTTGGGTAGGTCAGAAATACTACAGAAACTGAATCAAGTAATCCAATGTAAAATAACACTGGATAGTCTTTTAGTCCTGACTGAATTAAATACATAGGCTATTAATTCTGATTCCTTACAATTAATGCTATATTATGTTGTTTTGACAACAAAATGAATGACAGACACATATGGCTGCGTTCACTTTAAGAACTAGTGCACGGATCCATTACTGTTTCATTATACTGTCTGTCACACGCGTTTTATGCTTATTTAAGACATAACCGACTGTCTTTACGAGGTTACTCACCAAGACCAGAGGTTTTGACATCATTTTGCGTGTTTTTAACTGTTAAAGCGATATAATCCACGAAAAATAACTTTTGTTACTGGCGAGCTGTTTGTTGTGAGGCGGATTTAGGCTGTATGTGCACGCAATGAAAAACATACACGAGTGCGCGAGCACAGGATAGTTTAAAATTGCTTGAAAAAAGACGTGAAAATGATAAACGTTAGTTACGATGCAATGCTGGCCTGATTGAGCAAGTGAATCATGTCCCGACTCCTAAACACGAGTGTGTATCGACGCCTGCAGCGCTTGACGCTTACCTTGTGCAGAGTGAGAAGACGCAGCACGCGAGCCCTGAATATGGAAAAGATCGATTCGTGGCCGTTGAGAATCGATTTTGAATCGACCACATTTAAAAAAAAGATTAATCGAAAAATCTATTTTTTTGCCCAGCCCTAATGTCCACTGTTCTTTTTTATAAATATAGGATTTGTATTACATCTATATTTATTATAGTCGAATCGAGAATCGAATCAGGAATGGAAAATCGAATCGAGAATCGAAATCGAATCGAATTGAGACCTTGCGAATCGAAATCGAATCGAATTTGAACATCTGAATCGATACCCAGCCCTACTTTTTAAGGCCTTGATCGGCCGCCGTATTTATCGGCATATCGGTTACAGCACGAAAATGTCTGCTATAACAAACCGACGTTTGTCTAATGTCTGTTGCATAATCCAATGTTTTTCTCTGGGTAAAACAATTAAATACAACATAAAACACAGCAGGGCTGGACAATAGCGTGATTGACGCGAGTTACGTGTGTTTTTAAGCGCACAAATACCGAATCGAGTTCTATTTTACTTCTAATTCACACAAAATTATACTCAACCGTCTTGGCGAGTATCCATGTAAACATCGTCGGTTATGTATTAAATGAACGGAAATAAAACGCTTGTGTAACAGTATATTGGATCAGTGCATTCGCTCTTAAAGTGACAGCGTCCTAATAATCCTGATGTTAATCAAACAAAAGACAAAAATCGTTCACTACTAATAACTTTTGTAGCTTAAATAATACGGATTAATGTTTATTTAATTTATACAGTGAAGAATCTATTTTACGTTTGATTACTTTATGTCTGTACCTGAAAAGCACTGTTTATGTCATATGTGCATCTTTGTTCTGTTGTGTGTCTCTTGAATGTTAAATTCATCCAATAGGAATTATTTGACATGTAATAAATGCATGTGTTTTTTAACCTTGCTACTAATGATCAAAACACTAATCTATTTTGACGTTTGACTCCGAGAGAGGACGTGAAGACGAGGCTGTCTTCTCTATGTCTGTGTTTGAGGGATTCTGATCGATTATTGATCCGAGTCACATGACGCGTGATGTCACTCACCGTTGGGCGACAGCGTGACCGCGGGCATCGAGTGCATACTGGGCTCAGCGATGTATTTAAAGTCCACCGGAATATCCCTGGAAAAAAAAGATGAAATGCACATCAAAATACAATCAAGCACATCTTTGCGTTTAATTTTTTTTATTTTTAATGTTTTTGAAAGATGTCTGTTATTGCTCACCAAAAATACAGTAGAAATTGTGAAATTATTCTAATTTAATATAACCGTTTTCTATGTGAATATACAGTAAAGTGTAATTTATTCCTGTGATCAAAGCTGTATTTTCAGCGTCATTACTCCAGTCTTCAGTGTCACATGATCCTTCAGAAATCACTCTAATATGAGGATCTGATGCTCAAGACACATTTATGATTATTATCAGTGTTGAACACAGTTGTGCTGCTTCATATTTCAGTGTTATATATATAAACTTTTATTCATCAAAAGTGACAGTAGAGACATTTATGTATTTCAAATAAATCCTGTTTTTTTAACCTTCTATTCGAAGAATCTTGAAAAAAACACAAAAATATGAAGCAGCACTACCGTTTATCATTGATAATACATTTTTCTTGAGGAAAATACACACAGCGATGTGGTGAGTATTGTAATCCATCACACACACACACACACACACACACACTCTCTCTCACACAGCGATGTGGTGAGTATTGTAATCCATCACACACACACACACACACACACACACACACACACACACTCACACAGCGATGTGGTGAGTATTGTAATCCATCACACACACACACACACACACACACACACACACACACTCACTCTCACACAGCGATGTGGTGAGTATTGTAATCCATCACACACGCACACACACACACACACTCTCACACAGCGATGTGGTGAGTATTGTAATCCATCACACACACACACACACACACTCTCTCACACAGCGATGTGGTGAGTATTGTAATCCATCACACACACACACACACACACACACACACACTCTCTCACACAGCGATGTGGTGAGTATTGTAATCCATTACACACACACACACACACACACACACTCTCTCACACAGCGATGTGGTGAGTATTGTAATCCATCACACACACACACACACACACACTCTCTCACACAGCGATGTGGTGAGTATTGTAATCCATCACACACACACACACACACACACACTCTCTCACACAGCGATGTGGTGAGTATTGTAATCCATCACACACACACACACACACACACACACACACACACACTCTCTCTCACACAGCGATGTGGTGAGTATTGTAATCCATCACACACACACACACACACACACACACACACACACACACACACACACACACACACACACACACACACACACACACACACACACACACACACACACACACACACACACACACACACACACACCGATGTGGTGAGTATTGTAACGCCCGTTTCACACATACTCCGTGTGCGGTGCGTATGCGGTACAGGAGCAGCACGCGCTATAGTGCTTTCACACATGCTGCGTGCGTTTGCAGTGCGCAACTGATCCGCGGCTGTACCACAAACACATTTACTCACTATTTGTATTTCAAAAAATCATCAATCAAATCAAGTTATCAGCAGCAAAAGTGTTTGCCTCCAGTGCAATTCTCTTTGTAGGCCTATTCACGTTTAAAACACAGTTTAAACAACGTTCAATGCATTACTTTTATATAAGCCTAGATTATATATTAAGTTGCTCAAGCAAGTGGTAACATATTTAACCATGTACTTATATTAAAATCGCAAACATTTTAAATTAAAACTTAAAATTGACAAAAACAGCAGACTCATACCTTTTCTTTTGCATAATTCAAATCTGTATACAATAAATCTTGCATGTCACAAATAACTTGTTTTTCCACCTCAACGAATGAGACGAGTGTCGTTCATTATGTGGCCTTGTTGAAGTAAATTGTAGCTTTCTTTGCTTTACCCCGGTCTTAAAGTAAAAAGCGACTGTGAAAAAAGTAGTATTTAATTAAATGCATTTATGGTTACATTTTATTGAATTAAATGCATTTATGGTGAAATTACTACATATTCAGGTCAGCCTGTGTTCATTTTGACCACGAACCGTGCGCTGTCACTTTAATTCAGCGTTTGCAGCACAGCAGAAATAGACTCGGTGCGGAAACGATCTCTGCACTGCTGTATACGCACCGCAACTGGAACGCATCGCCGGACCGCATCCGCGTGCAGTGTGAAAGCTCTAACCTGTTAACATGGGGACGGAAAAAAATACGCACCGCATACGCACTGCAAACGGAGTATGTGTGAAACGGGCATAATACATCACACACTCACACAGCGATTTTGAGTATTGTAATCCATCACACACACACACTCACACTCTCTCTCTCTCTCTCAAACACACACTCTTACTCTCTCTCTCTCTCAAACACACACTCTTACACTCTCTCTCTCACACACACAAAGCGATATGGTGAGTATAATCCATCAAACACACACACACTCTCTCTCTCACACAGCGATGTGGTGAGTATTGTAATCCATCACACACACACACACAGATGTGTGAGTATTGTAATCCATCACACACACACTCTCTCTCACACACGTGTTTGAGTCTTGTAATCCATCACACACACACTCTCTCTCACACACACACATGTTTGAGTATTGTAATCCATCACACACACACACACATTTGATTATTGTAATCCATCAAACACACACACACACACACACACACAGATGTGTTTGAGTATTGTGATCCTCCTGCATCAGAGAGAGCTCCTGTAACTGGAGCACAGCACTGACACCTGAGGCCGAGCGGAGCCGAATCCTCGAAGACGACGCGAGTGTCCCGAAATAACTCTCTCCGCATGAGAGCGAGCGCACCGCGTCACCGGCGCACACCACACCATAGCATCTCTGTGCAGGACACGGCTGGAGCACTGAACATTCATCAACTGAAAATTTTACTCTTTTAGTAAAAAAAAATACTCTGAAAATACTCTTTTAGTTGAAATATACTAAAATAAAGTATTTTCAATGAGGTAAATATATATATATATATATAAAAACTATTAATTGATTGAATGAACAGAAAAGGTACTATATGGTGATATCGGTTATATCGTTATCGTGATATGAGATTTTGGTCATATCGCCCAGCCCCAGTTTACTTGATAAAAATCAGTAAAGATTTCACAGTAAAAATTCATGAGCTGAAGGATGTTTTTACAATTAATATAATGCTAATTTCAACATTTACTAATGCACTATTAAAATCAAAAGTTGTATCTGTTAGGCTACTATTATTGTATGGACCTGGTATATGAAACTAACAATGATTATGAGATAAGAACGTTAACAAAGATGATTAAACATGCTCCTTAATTAATAGGACCTTATTGTACTGTTCCCGACTCTTTAAATCAAAGTCTCATGGAAACGAATTCCTCAATGGTTGTGTAAAACAGCTCTGCTCACAGCGATCATAGTGCTCAGGAAGTGCAAACGGCTTGATTATTGAGAGTGTTTAGGCTTTTTGAGGTTTGAAAAAAATCCATTCACTCATTTTATCTTTTTTTGTATTGTGTGGTGGTTGTGTCCACACACATTTATATGCAAACACCATATAAAAGTGAATTCTGCATCCGATGACCCCTTTTACGATAGCCTGGATGCCAGCCGAGCTTAGCCCCGCCCACAACATTTGAGGATGGGAAGTTCGGTCTGGACTTGATCCGTTGTGAAGCAAGTATCCCCGAACCAAAGCTGTTCGGACCAATCAAATCATCAGGGCGGGCTGTATACGATGATGGACAGATGATCAACCGTAGCGTAATCATCACGTCACCAAAGAGCGCTTGGGTTGAGTTCGTTTACCACAAAGATGGCCGCCGCTGGAGAACTGAGATGTGTAGATCCAGCCGTCGCGTCTGTTATAGAAGATGTCGACAGCGCATTCATTTAAAAGAGGAACAGAACCGCGATCAAGGCATTTGTCGATCCAATTGAGCGCAGAGGCATTTTCTTTCCTGGTTCGGTTGAAACGCCCCATAATCACAGCCCAATGAAGCCGCATCACACTCACATGCTGACTAGAGTCCGAGTATGACGACGTCAGGCTAGCTTTACGAGAATTGAACCGATTTCTCTCTAACGCCTGTGAGAAGCACAGCTGCTCCTCATCTAGAGCCGATATTCCCCATTGAATGTGTGTTTTTGTGTGTAAAGCTCCTCACCACTCCCACACGCGCAGACTCTTGTCGTCGGAGGTGCTGACGAAGCGCCGGTTCTCGTCCACGAAGGTGATGGTGTTGACGGCTCCCAGATGCCTGTCGTACTCCTGAACCACCTCACGGGTGCGGATGTCCCACTGCAACACACACACACATCAGCCTTCACACACTCGCCCCGCGACGTCAGAAACATTCAGTACTGATTAAAAACCACAAACACCATTAAAGGTGATGTGTGCGATTTTTAGCGGCATCTAGTGGTGAGGTTGTGAATTGCACCCGTGAGTGAGTGAGTGTGTGAGTGAGTGAGAGAGTGAGTGTGTGAGTGAGTGTGTGTGTGTGTGAGTGAGTGAGCGAGTGTGTGAGCGAGAGTGAGTGAGTGTGTGAGTGATTGAGTGAGTGTGTGTGTGTGTGTGTGAGTGAGCGAGTGTGAGTGTGAGAGTGAGTGAGTGTTTGAGAGAGTGATTGAGTGAGTGAGTGAGTGAGTGAGTGAGTGTGTGTGTGAGTGAGTGAGTGAGTGTGTGAGTGAGTGAGTGAGTGAGTGAGTGAGTGTGTGTGTGAGTGAGTGAGTGTGTGAGTGTGTGAGTGAGTGAGTGAGTGTGAGTGTGAGAGTGAGTGAGTGTTTGAGAGAGTGATTGAGTGTGTGAGTGAGTGAGTGAGTGAGTGTGTGTGTGTGAGTGTGTGAGTGTGTGAGTGTTTGAGTGAGTGAGTGAGTGAGTGAGTGAGTGTGAGTGAGTGAGTGAGTGTGTGAGCGAGTGAGTGAGCGAGCGAGCGTGTGAGTGTGTGTGTGAGTGAGTGAGTGTGTGAGTGAGTGAGTGTGTGTGTGAGTCAGTGAGTGAGTGAGTGAGTGAGTGTGTGTGTGAGTGAGTGAGTGAGTGTGTGAGTGTGTGAGCGAGTGAGTGAGCGAGCGAGCGTGTGAGTGTGTGTGTGAGTGAGTGTGTGAGTGAGCGAGCGAGCGAGAGTGAGTGAGTGAGTGAGTGAGTGAGTGTGTGAGCGAGAGTGAGTGAGTGAGTGAGAGTGAGTGAGTGAGTGAGTGAGTGAGTGAGTGAGTGAGTGAGTGAGTG